TCACAATTTACTTTTTAATCTTTCATTGCTTCTTCATTTTTTAAAATGGTTGTTCTATACTTCATGCTAATTAGGGATGTGTAGTGGTAGAGATCTCATTTGTCATGGAGAGAGATTGGGAGTGAGTGGGTAAGGGTGCCACTTGGAATTGGCTGCCTCAGTATGTGCCTCGTTTTCCTTCTGGCCATGTTACACAGGTATAAAGCGTGCAGCACACATTTCCTTTCACAGGCACTCTGCGTCAACTAATCTCCACCGATAAACACATGAGTGTGACGTGTGGAGGGGGTAGTGGCTGTAATCCGAGTTAGCTGAAGGTCTGTTGAAGCACAGCTATGCCACAGCTACTAATGCACTGGGTGGAGTGGGGTCTGAAAAACTGCATCTCTGGCGATGCTGCTGCTGTGGTTTTCCGTTTTGCTCACAAGGTTCGGGGATGCCAGAAAGCCTTTCCACAGAGGCAGCAGTGACAGGCAGCAGGAACTTTCCAACATGGAGGTTTGTGTCAATTATGGAGTCATGTGAGCATTCTTGTCGCCCTTCTCCAGTCATTCACAAAACTGTAAGGCTCTAATTCCACGCACTAAACCCCTTCCTAGAGGAAGCAAAGGTAATCTGTTTCTCATATGAAATCACTAATGACCACAATGTTTTATGAAAAGCAGCTTTATGTGACACTGCATTAGGTTTCTTTGTCCAAAACACATATCCTTGCTGTCCTTGCAAGCAGGTGGTGGGATGAACTGTTTTCTTTGGTGATTGAATTTACTGAGTGAGGTTGGTGATAGACCATTTTTGTAGGTACACGAAAGATTCTGCAGTGATGTGCACTAGAGGGTGAACTATCTCCTCTGTCTGTCTGGACCTAAAGGTTTGGTCAACCAACACTGGGGTTTGAATCACAGTTACGGCGCTCTTCATCTATCATATTAAACCAAATGTCTCTATATATAATGAGAAGAGAAGCATCTACCTGTAGTTATACACAAGTGATACAAGATAGAACATAGAAGAGTTGCTCGGATTATATTGAAGGTTTGAAACCATGTAAGTTGCTACTATAACTATTACTAAGAATAATACATAAGTGAGATAAACAACGAGCAATTAGACAGAAGAGGAGGATGTCTGTATAGAAGGGGACTGTTTGTCACCTCTGGCAGATTTGAAGTTTACTCTCCTGTTTTGCATACTCCCAGAGTAATAAATAAGGTTTAGCTAACAGATTATTATTTTTTTTTGGTAGAAGGTATGAAATCCAAGAATGGCTCCAGAATCCATTTTTTTTTATTATTTCATTTTATGACACAGTTTCATAGGTTCTGGTATTCTTCCAACTCCTCCCCAAACTCCCCCCATATTGAATTCCTCCATATTGTTACATTCGTACAGATCATAACCAGTCATGATTCCTTCATTGCGGGCAGGGACCGTGCAGAGAGTCCAGAATCTCATTGTCCAGACATATTCAACAGCTTCATTGGGAAACCATCCCCAGTCCAAAAGTAGAGCTGGTAGGTAGCCTATCATCCCCTCCAATGAAAAGCCACTATACAACTTCAACAATAATTTACAACGTCATGAAGTTAATTGACACGGTGTTGCATGACCAATATGTTAGAATATGCAAGTTCTTAACCACAACCCTTAACTACTTCATCGACATCTCGATTTTAGTTTATACACAACCGGCTGATATACACCTTAAAATAGTTATAGGGTACTATTCAGCTGTCTCATGTCTATCTTCATTTTTATATTTAGGCGTTTATAGTGTTTAAGCGTGATTTCTACAGAACTATGTAAATTTTAGGATAGACCAAATAGGCTTATAACTCTAACAAGTCATATGTTAATTATTGGGGAGCAGAACAGTTTTAGGAGACAGTTTTAGGAGGGGTGTACAGAGAAATCTTCAATTCCTTAATGAGGAATAACTTTGTGTCCTACCTAGTAAGGTATATGTGAGTCCAAGCTGACAGTTTCCTGTCTGTTCTAAGCTTGCCTTATTGGTCTCTATCTGATTTTTTTTTTTTTGGTGGCTCTGGAATGACCCTGATGGTCATTGATTGCAAGAGAGGGTGGGGAGGAGCCTGGTGGCATGGCCTAGCGGCTAAAGTCCTCGCCTTGAATGCACCAGGATCCCATATGGGCACTGGTTTTAATCCCGGCATGTCCACTTTGCATCCAGTTCCCTGCTTGTGGCCTGGGAAAGCAGTTGGGACCCTGAACCTGCGTGGGAGACCCGAAGAGGTTTCTGGTTCCCGGCTTCAGATCGGTGCCGCAATGGCCATTGCGCTCACTTGGGGGATGAAATCATTGGATGGAAGATCTTCCTCTCTGTCTCTCCTCCTCTCTGTATATCTGGCTTTGTAATAAAAATAAATAAATCTTAAAAAAAAAAGAGGGTGGGGAGCCAAAGTTGTCAGAGCGACCCTGATGGTCATTGCAAGAGAGGGTGGGGAGCCAAAGTTGGAACTAAGTTACAACCAGAGAAAGCTCATCTCCCTAGTCCCGAAGGAAGTTTCCTGTTCTCTTTCTGCAGACTGTTCAGGGCTCCTGGCTGTTGTTCCAATGTCATTAGATACTGTGAGGAAGGATCTGGGCTTCTTCCATCCCGTGTTGGAGATCTGATAGGGAATGGTTGACTTCAGAGTTCTTGGCCTACGAAGGCACTTCAATTCCCTGTGATCTCCTTGACAATTGAGATATGGTCCTTGGTGCCCATACTGATGATCCTTGGTGAGGATCTGGGAGTCTCCAGGGTTGGGGTACAAGCCTCCTGCTGTCCTCCTGCTCCACTCTGGGGTCCCCTGCTGCTCTGTGCATATGACCTCCTGTTAAGAGGTTGTCAGTGTCTTTATAGTTTTTGCTAATGTCTAATGCAGAATCGAGTCAGTTGTCTGTAAGTTACCTGTTACAATCTTGATGGATTATACTTAACATCTTCCTCACATCCTCTAAGAAGGTAGAAGGTTTCTCTGATCTCCTGATCCGATACGGAATAACAGGATACTAAAAGCATCTCAGGCTTTTCAGTTCTTTGATATAGATCATACGTAGTCTGTTTCTCATTGATTGTTGGTTCATTGGTTACATCACCACATCTTATTGAATGTGATACAGGTTGTTTGGGGTTGTAATAATATTATAATTTACAGGTGCTATTTTTCCGACTGACATCATTTCATCTTAAATTAAGGCAAACATGTGGTATCTAGCCTTTTGGGATTGGCTCATTTCCCTTAGCATAATGGTTTCTAATTGGGCCCATTTGGCCACAAAGAAATGCATTTTTTTTTTAACAGTGGAGTAGTATTCCATGGAGTAGATGAACCATAGCTTTCTTATCCAATCTTCTGTTGATGGGCATTTTGGTTGCTTCTGAGTTTTTGCAGTTATTGATTGTGCTGCTATGAACATAGGGGTGCATGTTGGTTTCTCGTGTAACAGGTGTTTTGGATATATTCCTAGGTGTGCTATTGCTGGATGGTATGGTATGCAGACTTTCAGTTGTTTGAGTGCAGAATCCAATGCTGAAAGTTTAAAATTTATGTTCAATCGTAAATAAGATAGTAAGCCACTACTGAAGGGCTCTGGTTAGAGAACATGGCTTCAAAATGAAAGAAAAAACACAAACTTGAAATCAGCCAGTTTTTATTCCACAATAGATCAGGAGGGCAGAGAAACCTTCCACTTTCTTAGAGTGTGTGAGGAAGATGTTCATCTATTGAGATTACAACAGGTGACTTACAGATAACAGATTCAAAATTATATTAGATATTAGCAAAAACAATAGATACATACAGTGGGATCCAAGAGCAATCCGTACAGCGTCTTAATAGGAGGTCATATGCACAGAGCAGGAGGGGACCCCAGAGTGGAGCAGGAAGATAAGAGGAGGTCAGTATCCTAGTCCAGGAGACACCTGGAAGCCTCCCAGGTGCTTTTGCCACAGAAGCGGTGGATACCTCATCAAGGATTGTCAGTATGGGCACCAAGGACCATATCCCAACTGTTGAGGAGATCACAGGAAGTTTGAGTGCCCTCATAAGCCAAGAACTCTGAGGTCAGCCATTTTCTATCGGATCTCCCACATGGGATTGAAGTAGTCCAGAACCCTCCTCATAGGGTCTAATGACATTGAAACAGCAGCCAGGAGCCGGGGTGGTCTTCAGAGATAGAAGAATTGTAAACTTCCTTTAGGACTAGGGCGAGGAGCTTTCTCTGGTTGTAACTTAGTTCCAACTTTGACTCCACATCCTCTCTTGCAATGACCATCAGAGTCTCTCAGGAGACCCAAAATTAGCTCAGATAGAGAGAGACTAATATAGAAAGCTTTGAACAGACAGGAAAAAGTCAACTGGCCTATAATTGCTCAGCCTGTACCCTACTGGTCAGCTTCCTGATGTGGCTTTTCCTAGACCTCACTAGGTAGGATGCGGAGTCCGGTTATTCCTCACTTGCTAAATTATTGGAGATTTCTCTGCTCACCCACCTAAGACTGTTCTACTTTTCAACTGTTAATATATGGCTTGTTAGAGTCATAAGTCTGTTTTGATTATCCTAAAATGGATGAAGTTCTGCAAAATCTCAAGAAAATAAAAAAGAATTTAATGAGAAAAAACTGTTCTGAAGAAATGAAACAGAAAAAAAATCATCAAAATATATATAAAAAAAGGTATTGAAACTATGAGTGACTCTTAGAATTCATGCTGAATGTTTAACATTGATTTTACACTACAGTTAAGATAGTAAACCACAACTGAAGGACTCTGGTTAGAGAAAATGGTTTCCAAATGAAAGAAAAACACAAACTTGAAATCAGCCAGTTTCAAACAGCAATGACAGAGGGAGAGGAAGGTAAGGAGACAGACTCAAGGGGAGAAACCTCTCACCCACCCACGTGAGAAGTGCCTGGTTCCCACCCATGGTCAACATTCCTAGGACTTCCCTGGAGTGTATTTGCAAAGTGAGGCGAAGCAACAATGCCATGCACATCAGTACGGTTTCCTCTTCAGTGCTCTCTGCAGGGCAGCCTTCACCTCCTTATTCCTGAGGCTGTAGATCAGGGGGTTCAGCATGGGGATCACTGTGGTGTAGAACACAGAGGCCACATTCTCCTGGGCCAGGGAGCTGGCTGTGGACGGTTTTAAGTACATGAAAGCAGTTGACCCGTAGAATAGCCCCACAGCTGCCAGGTGGGAGCTGCAGGTGTTGAAGGCTTTGGACCTGCCCTGTGTGGTGCTGATGTGGAGGATGCTGGACAGGATGAAGGCATAGGAAACAAGGACTGTGACGCTGGTGACTACGATATTGAATCCAGCCAGAAAGAAGACTGTCATCTCAACGTCATAGGTACTAGAGCAGGAAAGCTTCATGAGAGGGAGGATATCACAGAAGTAGTGACTGATGAGAACTTCACAATAAGACAGGCTTATCATGAGCCCAGTCTCTATGGTTGAACCAATGAACCCCATGATGTAGACTACAGCCACCAGCATGGAACACACAGGACGAGACATGATGATGGTGTAAAGCAAGGGCCGGCAGATGGCGACATAGCGGTCATAGGCCATCACTGTGAGCATGTAACACTCAGCAATGACAAAAACAAGGAAGAAGTAGAGCTGAGACATGCACCCAGCATAGGAGATGATGTTCTTCTGTGACACAAAGTTCACCAGCATCTTGGGCGTAATGACAGAGGAGTAGCAGAGATCCACAAGGGACAGATTGCTGAGGAAGTAGTACATGGGGGTGTGAAGCTGCGAGTTGAGACGAATGAGGGTGATCATGCCCAGGTTGCCCACCACGGTGACCAAGTAGATAGCTAGGAAGAGGAGGAAGAGGGGCAGCTGGAGAGCTTGTCTGTTTGTTAATCCCCCGAGAATAAACTCTGTCACTGTAGAGTGATTTCCTGTAGCCATTCTCTTCTAGGTGGTAAGCCTGTGGGGATTAGGAAAAGAGTTATTTGAAATTCTGTTCTTGGACTGCCTGGGGACAATGGTCTTAACCCTTGGTGAATCCTTGGTATTAGCTAGGTGTCCTTTTTTATGGCTCTTTCTACTGTTGCCTAAAAGGAAGACCCTTCTCCTGAGTTTCAAGGATTGTGATGATGACAGTACTAAGAATCAGTAAATTTACTGCTCTCATGCACCTCAAACTGTGCGTATCTGTGATTCTGAGAGTACAGTTGCTGATTAGCTGCATCAACGTCATGTTGAAGTCATTAGGGATTCAGTGTGCAAGCCCACATTGAGCATGTACTTCACTTGAGTGCCCTGGGATGTGCTCAGCCCATCTCCTCCGTGGTGCTGATGCAAACCGGTTTTTAAAGTGGCATTCTATACATAAAATATAGTGTATTTACTATTTTGTAATTGGGGATATGTTTTTGATTCAATTTTCCTGCAATTCTAAATATTTGCCAGTTGCAAACATAACTTTCTATCTCACAGTGATGACACATCAGATTATATGGTGGTTATAAGATGTATTATGGAGTAACAAGTCAATTTCTGAATGATGAAAACATTGGGTAGATGGGTTTCAAAGGTGACTGTGAAAGTAAGATGGGATGATGTGTATTTTAAAGTCTTTGTACAAATTTTCATTAAATCTAGTTTTTAGTTTTTTCTTAGTCTGAATTCAAGGTCCTAGACAGTGGCTCTTCATATTGGCTGGGTATTATAACAACTTGGTACACTTGCAAAATGCCCAGGCCTGGGCTTTACCTATAGAAGCCATGATTAAGTTAATCTCTGCTATAGCCTGAAGTACTGCAAATTTGTATTTTCCTTAGTCAGTGCTCATCACATATGTGTGTATAATAATTATTTTTTGATCGTGATATCAAACCATGACACTATTAGATTGCAATGACAAAGTATTCAAATGACAGATGTGTGTGGGAACCATGAATTAGCATTACTACATGCAGTCGTCCTCATTTATTGGATGGATTTATTAAGCTAAAAACAAGTTCTCACTAATTAGTTTCCTTCGGTAATTCTTACCTTAATTTACTGCTGAGAGTTCCCACACTTTCTTTGAAGGTCAGTCTTTTTACATCATGAAGTTTTTAGGGATACAGGCAGGAGTGTTTGCAGTGGTACTTTTATTCCCTTTTTTGTACTGAGAAAACTGATGCACCAACTGATAAGTGACTTGTTAGAACCTGCTTATTATTGGTCACTGTGAAATCAGACTTGCATCTTGTCTTTCCTTGTTCTGAATGTCTTTCTCATACATGTAGGCTTACACATCTACTCCAACAGTTCCTAACAACGTGTGGCTGAAACATGCCTTGGTATCTAATTTGTGCATAACACATGAAAGAGGATGTATTACTATTCTTTTTTTTCTTTATTCTGTAAGATATTGAAATCCAAAGATTTAAATAAGCTACACAAAGTAATCCAGCTAGTCAGAGGGAGAACCGGATCTAAATCTTAGGACTCTTAACCACCAGTCTGTCTGTCTCTGCTAAACTATAATTTTCTGTTGCATTTTATCTTTGAATAGCACATTGGTATTATTTAGTAGACTTAATTTATTTAAGTAATGTAGATGGAATTTATTTATCCTAGATGCAGGATAGATGTTGTTATTTTCAGGTGTACTTCCAGTAATTTTAAAGAAAAAACACCTGCACCATAATAAAATAGAAACACAAATGAGGAAAATTAAAAAAAAACTTTGCTTGATTCATGGAGTGCTGGTGGTAAATATCTTTCTGTAGTTTTCCTATGGATATGTACATTTTTGTGTATAAATATTTATGCATATTTTAAACCTCCATTTAAAGTAACATTTTGAAATATGTCATCTCAATTCATTCTTACAGCAAAAGTAATTATTCTTTTTTTTTTTATTGTTGCTTACATTGTATTATGTAGTACAGTTTTATAGGCGCTGGGGATTCCCCCCACCCCTCCCATACCCCTCCCCCCATGGTGGATTCCTCCACCTTGTTGCATAACCATAGTTCAAGTTCAGTTGAGATTCATTGCTTGCAAACACATGCCTAGCATAAAGTTCAGCGTCTTATTGTCCAGATAAGTTCAGTGGCCTCTTGGGGAGACCTTCTATGGTCTGAAGATAGGGCTAACAGAGTAAAGATCCGGTCAGTTAAAAGCCCCAACAAGGCCTCAGTATCAATATACAACATTATGGAATTAATTGACATAGTATTGGGTAAACAATATGTTAAAAATAATGCAAGTTCCATTCTTCGAAACATCTGGGTTGAGACAGTATCAATGACAGGTTCAAAAAATAACAAACAACCATACAAAAATTACAGGTTAAATCAAGGCAAACATGTGGTATCTAATCTTTTGGGATTCACTCATTTCCCTTAGCATTATAGTTTCCAGTTGTGCCCATTTAGCCAAAAAGTAATTATTCTAACTGCAATATTTTTCGTTGCCAGATATTCAAAGAATTCTTATAATCCCAAGGATTTAGTGTGAATGAAAGAAAATTCTCATTTAGAGGTAAATTACTGATTGCAAGGTATTTAGATTTATAAGTTAGTGGTATTAAATATAGCTAAGATTTTTGGATGTTGCTTGCTTTTAGAACAAGGAAAAAAACTGTAGATAAAATATATTAAAAGAATATTACACATCTTTATCCAACATCTGTCTTTAAATATAAAAATCATTGAACATCCAGCTTGAACAATTGTCCCTATAGATCAGAGTGCTTACGAGCAAGCAGTGTGGACCCTGTTCACTTGGTGTATTTACACTGCAGCTCAAATTCACACTTACTGGAGGAGAATCCTAGAGAGCAACTGGCTGATGTCTCTCCCCTGTAATTTAACAAGATCATACAGGAAAACAAGAAGCTATTGGAGTTATTAATTATTGTGTAAAAGAATCTTTATAGGTTCAGGATTGTTTCCAATGAGGATAGCTCAGAGTGGCAGAAAAAGCTCTTAGAGATAAAAGTAAAAGAAGTATGTTTTCCTTATTCATTATTTTAAATTTGTAATTAAATACCTTTGCTGGGCCCGGTGCCTTGGCGTAGCAGCTAAAGTCCTCACCTTGAACGCTCTGGGATCCCATATGGATGCCAGTTCTAATCTTGGCAGCTCCACTTCCCATCCAGCTCCCTGCTTGCAGTCTGGGAAAGCAGTCAAGGGTGACCCAAAGCCTTGGGACCCTGCAACTGTGCAGGAGACGCAGAAGAAGCTCCTGGCTCCTGGCTTTGGATCAGCTCAGCTCAGCCATTGCGGACACTTGGGGAGTGAATCATCGGATGAAGATCTTTCTCTCTGTCTCTCCTCTCTGTATATCTGACTTTGCAATATAAATCAATAAATCTATTTAAAATATTTTTTGCTGAGGGAAAATTGAAAGCTTCGCCTTGAAAGCAGTAGAGATGCCTTGGCTTCAACAATCAGGAAGTGAGAGAAGCATGTAGACTTATATCTTATTGAGGCAAAAAGCCATGAGACAATGGTTCACCAAGCTAGTGAGACTGGGTTCTTATTTATATATGCTAAAGCATAGCATCTCCTGGGATACAGTCACTCCAGAGGCGGAGTCCCAAATTAAAGAAGCAATTAGAATCTTGGTTTATACCTATTCTGTGAATCATTTTTGCCTTCCCAGATGTATTAATTTTCCTTGTATTGGTGCAGTAATTTTACTTGTAAAGATAGGCAAGTATCAGGATATCATATCACCAACAGCTCCATTATCATCCCCGTCATTAACACAGTTGGCTTAGTGCCATCACCAGCCATCATCAATAGTTACCAGTGATTCATCAGTGTGTACAAAAGACAAAGCCCAGCATTTGAACTACAGTTTCAGCATGAAATATGAAGTTTGTAAGGAAGGTTGAATTTGTTAGCCTGTATACTACATACTGAGGAAGATAAGATGATTAATTGTTGATATATGCTCACTAAGAAGTTTGTTCACAAGAAACAATTTATTCAATATGTATGCATATCATGTATGAATGTACTGGTAATGAGATTTTGTCATTAAACTTTTTCTTTGAAGACAGTTGTAGATTCAGTGTAAGGAGATCCCACGTCATGGCCCTATGAAGTCACTGCAAATGGTAACAGTCTGCAGAATACTGTAACACTCGGAATGTTGACATTGACATCATCCACTGGTCTCATGCAGGTTTCCAGAGTTTCATCAATGCTCATTTGTATGTGTATTTATTTTACACAAGCTCGTCAGTTGCATAGGACCATGTATTCACCATCACTCGTGAGATAAAAATATCACTTTGATTTTGCAATTTTCATGACAATAATTTGATTTTCTATGGGTCTTTAAAAGTGATCAGTTATCTTTCATTAGTGGCATTCTAAATTTGTCAACTTAAATTTATTTTATTTGTTCTAATACACTGTAGTTATTATTATCTCTTTGTTGACCAAACTTTTCCATTTTGTTCAGTGAAATTTACCTCAGCATGTGCCTCTGATTGTTTTGAGACACTGCTTAACGTCTCTGGTATCATTCTTTCTTCCTTCCTATAGACTGTATCTTCCTATATCATACAGTAAGATATTCTGAACTCAACTCGGAAGTTTCTTTCTTCAGATTTGTGGTCAACCATTCTTCCAAGGAATTTGATTTCTTTTATTATGGGAATGTTATTTTAAGAGTACGAATTAGGTGACAAGACTCACTGATGCTGTTCGATGTTGTTTCTAAGTCTTTTCAAGCGGAATTCAAAAATTTATGTTTATAGTGTTCTCCTTTTAAATAAGTTTCTGTTGTTAGAAGTTGAATAATCTTACCAAAGTTTTAATGTTCATTGTGAGCTTTTTTTTTAGCTTTTTTTCTTAGCTGTGGCTTTTTTTTTTTATCAATATGCTTCAAAAATATTTTTTAACATTAGAAAATATCTTTTTTGGGCCCAGCGCGGTGGCACAAGTGGTTAAGGT